GGGGGGGGTCCCCCCCCCCCCCCAGATGCGAGCCACCTGCATGCCGAAACCTGCCTAGCCTGTTATGTTGTTACTGGTTTCTCTAGAGCTAGTCACACGACCCCAAAGGCAAATAGCTTTATCATTTCTACACAAAAAGACTTGTCACTGAAAAGAAGGTGTTATTTTGGGCCTAATATCTTTACAGTTGTTGTTCTCCCAAACCCCAAAACTCATTTCAGCGGAGGGGAGAAACTATTCATTTTTCCTGTTGCAACCAAATTTGGAAATGATTCAGTAACATCAATATATGTTTTTAAATGTTGCATAACTTTCTCGGGAGAAACAGGCTGTAGCCGTATTGGTCTAGAGGACAAGGCAATCAGGACTCGTAGTAGAGACGAGACCTTTTATTAGATCTTGTGTTAGATCTTTTTCTCAGGAGACACGGACACTGTTGACCCACCCTATTTCTACCCATGTTCATCTTCAGCAAGCTTAACTGGTATCCAGGTCTGCTTAGCAGTGCTGCACAGGTAGAGGGAATTGGTGGGATATGGGGAGATGTATTCATTGTGTTTCATTCCTCCAGAGAGGTTGAAATGCCTCGATTTACAATGAGATGCCTGCCTGGCTGGTAAGGGCTGTTACTAGGATGCTCCGAGAGTTGGAAAGGGACCTTGGCCATAGCCTTTTGGGCTCTCCAGTCCTGCTTTGGTTTGCTAGTGGTGTGGGGAGCCAGCTTCGCTCTTTATCCTGTGGCAGGTGAAGGTGGACCGGCCTGAGGTCCTGCTGGATGGACTGGCGCCCAGCACCGAGTACTCCATCGTGGTGTATGCGATGTACGGGGAAGATGCAAGCGATCCTGCCAGCATCCAGGAAACCACCTGTGAGTTCTTGCTCCCTGACTCAGCTGTCCTTTAGGCCACGGGCAGAAGCGGCTTCGCTGAACGCTGCACCCGAGGCGGGCGAGGCTTATCCACTGGGGTGCTTCCCATATTGTCCACACAGCTTGTAAACTGGCTTGCTTTTCCCCGGCTGATATTAAACATACGCGGTTTCCCAAGGGTCCCTGCAGCAGCAAGAGACGCATTTTCAATAGGACCGTGAATATGCTTCTATCCAGGCAAATTCTGAACAAAATTCAAGGTGTAAAAACTTCTTTACCTTGCAGTCTGGAATAGACACCCCCCTGAAATGGTGCAAGCTCCTACTCTGGATACCTTCAAGAAATGCCTGGATGCTCACCTTGCTGGGGTGATCGGACCCCAGCTGACTCCTGCCCTTTGGGCATGGGCTGGACCCGATGATCTCGCGAGGTCCCTTCCAGCCCAAATGTCTATGACATCTATGTGTAAAGACTAGCTAAGAGCCAAATGCTTCTCTCACGTAGGGGGATATTCACAACCAAAGTTTCGTGTCTGTGTGTCCTAATTATATGGCTTCTAATATCACACCCACTGTGGCATCTGAACACCTATTCCCGGGGCTTTGACCCACTCTACAACTAGTGAGAAAATTAGGATCAAGATCTGAGCTGCTTGCAAGTTTGAGGTCTTTGGATTGTGGGGTGGGCAGTGGGGTGGTCTGACCCTTCTCCACCCATATGCTAGACATCCTCAGAGGATATCACCCCATAGATAGGTGGAGCAGCATAACCAGAGGCTACGCAACCCATCTGGTGGGGAAGTCCAGCTGTTAAGGGGGTGGTGTAGGAAGCAGCCAGTGTCTTTACCTTCATTTTCATACCCTTTTGATGACTGTCATTGCAGGGGCCTTAAGCCCCCCCAGGCACCTCAGTTTCTCAGAGATCAGCCACGGGTCTGTCCGGGTCAGCTGGGAAGCTGCATCGCCTGATGTGAAAGCACACCGTGTCACCTATGTCTCCAGCCAAGGGAGCAACACTGGGGAGGTAAGTAGGCATCGCGGTGTTACTCTAAAAGCAGGGCAGCAGTCCTGGAGGTTACCCCAATGGTGGGGTTACTCCTTGCCTCCAGGGACCTGAGAGCAGAAGGTGGCTTGGTCTGTTTTCATCTGTTGTCTTTTCCCTTGTGCAAGGGCTTCAGGCCTGGATTGCCAGGGTGATAGGAAAGCAGGCTAGCACTACTGTTTTTGCAGACATCTATCCTTTCATCCCAGCTGGAGCACGCTCACAGGCACTTTCAGGTGCCCATCATGTATTTCAGGCCCTCCATTTGGAGTTGTGCATCCTGCTTCTCATTGAACTTTGCACTATCTCTCTTTCTCCATAAGAGAACATGCTCCCAGGAAAGCCAGCTTCCTCCATGCAGAGAGAGCCAACAGCAATCACCTGCCAGTAGCATTTTCTGAACAACCACCCCTCTAGCCTCACCAGCCTAGCTCCCTGCGGCAACTTTAACACGGGTGTTTGTGTTTCATTGCAGGTCCGAGTTGCTAGCGGAGCATCCTCCGCCACTCTGAAACCTCTGTCCTCTCTCACCCGGTATTTCATCAGCGTCAGGTCTGTTTATGATGAAGGTGACTCTTTCCCGCTCACCGGCAATGTTACCACGAGTAAGTTGGATCGAGGCAGACTTTTGCAGCCATTGATCATTGTGCAGCGACCATCTGAATGGGGGATGCCACTTATAACCCAATCCTTTTTGGGGACATTTGTTCTATAGTGACTCGTGATCAAATTCAGCTCTTAGTTATAAATCCAAGGATGTATGGGCCAGAAAGAATCATAGAGAAGTCGGACGAGGAGGGACCTCAATTTGTCCAACCCCCTGCACGATGCAGGAAACGTCTTGTGTCCTAGATGAACCTGTGACCTTGGCATTATTAGCATAAAGGACCATATTGCTCCGTTCCGGCCCTGACACCCTCCAATTCCTGCACTGAGCCCAGTAGCACAGGATTTAACAGGAATATGTCCATTAGCAAAGTAGTTGTGACATACCCTGCTTTGAGTGGAGTGATGCTCAGCTTTATGCTGGTGTTGCCAGGAGTGGAAATTGTCCCCCCGCCCCGGCGGCGTGCCATCCTGAGGGAGGCCGTGGGAAGGACGCGAAGGGAAGGTGGCTGCACGCCTGAGCGGAGCCGCTCCGAGATGGCTCATATGGAGCACGGAGATTTTTAAATGAGAGGGAAATGTTTCTCTTTCCTTCTTCCCTTTGCTTTCTCTCGCTCTCTGCCTCTCTCCAGGGGATTATGTAACTGGCAGAAATTATTAATTTTCCAGCAGCAAAGGAAACGTAGCGTTGGCTGCTCCCATAGGCAAGGTCCTTGGAAGTCTCCTGTTTGCAGTAGCTGGATGGTGTAGGACTTGTTAGCCTGGTTGATGCAAAACAGTGCATGCAGGCAGGATGGTGCAGGAAGAGACCCCCCCCCCCCACCCCCAA